GGGGGGGGGGGGGGGGGGGGGGGTCATAGACAGATGGATGGATGTTGGTTCAATGCATCTCTACAACATATCCCATGATATTTCCAACAAAAAAACACAAAAACAAACAAAAAAACTGTACACTTACTCAATTCCTCCAAAATAATTGCAAATCAATACCAACCTCATACTCCTCTAACACCACTTGTACTTATTCATCACACCAAGTCACTGTAAAAAGAGTTACTGTGGGTGAGGTCAGGATTAGATTTTTTTTTTTGTTCTGGTCCAATTCAACAGAATCTGGTGTATTCACTGTATAAGTTAGTAACATCAGAATTGTCTTACAAAGACACGGAGTTTATGAGTGACTGGGTAACTCAGTGTAGGATATTATAGAATGGTCACTACTTTGCACAAACTGCAAGAGAGTTATTATGCATTTGTGAATTTTCACTCTAAAAGTATTAAGTTTTTTAAAGGTAAAAAAACTCAATTCATGTAATGGTTTTTGTTAGATACAGTTTTCTTCTTGAAATTTACTTTGTAAGTCTCCAAAAGTTTTCCTGACCACTGTCTTCTCAAATATATCTTAGTTTATCAGAATTTAGATAGGACACCTGTACTCTATTAGACGTTTTATACTATTTCCAAAATTCCTCATTGTACACTTGGAGTAATCCAACAAGAATTTCAACCACTCTGGCAAACTCCACAGAATATGCCCACCATCTTAAAAATCTGGGAGGGAATGGGGAAGATGTGCTAAATGTACACCTTGCTGGGGTCGTTTGACCCCAGTACTCTTTCCTGCCATGGCAGGGGGTTGGACTTGATGATCTGCTCAGGTCCCTTCCGACCCTAGAAACTATGAAACTAAGAGGAGAAAAAAAAAAAATCAATGTTTCTCACTTGCCCAACAAGTGTATCACTGATTAAAAAGGAAAGATTTCTTGTTCACATTCTTTGAAAAGCAGTGTTACTATACACTTGAGGAAGAATGCCCCACCCCCTAAAAAAAATCCTTTAAGACAGTGGTTCTCAACTTTTCCTGGACTCAAGGCATGCCTTGTCAGACTTGAGACACCCCTCTATAACTTTTTGTTAATTGAGAGGCACCCCATTTTGAAAACTAATTTATTACAGGGCTTACCACCTTGCAGAGTGGCTGGGCAGTGGGGGAGCAGCTAGACAGAAAGAGCCCAAGTCTGCCCTTACTTGCTTATTGCTTCACACCTGTATCTCTTCACATCACCTGCAGCACCTTTCAAAGGATCCTGTAGCACGATGGGTAACCCAACACCCTGACGGAGCATCACTGGTTTAGAAGTATGTTAACCAAAGCTACCTTTTCACACATGGGTATCTTTGAAGGTACTATTCTTTAATGATACTGTAAAACCTCTGCCAGTGTAATAAGGGGCATTTAAATGTTTCCTGAGATCACTGGAGTCCTGAACCAGTTGGAAATCATTTTAACATCAGGCAAGCTTTAACTCAGGGGTGTCAAACATAAGGCCTGTGGGCTGGATCAGCTCACAGAGGAGCTCTGCTATCCAGCCCCTGGTGCTGCCTGGGTCTGATCAGACCCATAGAGCATGGCCTGTGCCCATGTTGCAGGGCCAGACCCTTCTTCCCCCTCCCTACAACCTTCCCCCAAGAAAACCTGATCCAGTGGTTGTCCAGCCAGTCTGAGACCCATGCTGCATGTGGATCCTGGACTACCTGAAACGTGCTGCATGCCGCACAGTCTAGTTGAAGCAGCTGCTGTGCTGTGCTGTGCTGTACACGGTGGCCATCCCAGCCAGACCGCACTACAAGCAGCACCTGCTCTGACATGTGCACCACACACAGTGCCCACTCCAGCCAATCTGGGACCCACCCTGAACAGGTGTTCCCTACTGCCACATGCAGCATGGCCCTGGAATAGGTGGAACAGGTGCTGCATTGATGTACAGCCCCAAAGCTGCTGTGATAGCCACCACAAGCAGCACAGCTGCTGTCCTGGCCGGACTGCATGCAGCACTCATTCCAGCTGCTCTGGGATTTGCGTTGCAGCATGGGTCTCAGACTGGGTGAAGCAGTCACTGGATCGGGTACGCTGAGGAGGGACTGGGGGTGGGGGGTAAACAGCCAGAGATTGAAAAAAAAAAGTTTGTGCAACACTGAATTGGTATACATGGTAATACTGATCTCTGCACATGCTACTATGAACTTTCATAGATTTATAGATTGTAGGGCTGGAAGGGACCTCAGAAGATGATCAGGTCCAGTCCCCTGCACCAAGCAGAAAAGACAACTGGGGTCAGGTGACCCCAGCAAGGCAACTGTCCAGTCTTCTCTTGAAGATTTCCAGGGTAGATGACTGCACCACCTCTGGAAGGAGCTTATTCCATGGTCTGGACACCCTAACTGCTGAAGATGCTGAATAGTACTAGACCAAGACTGACCCCTGTAGGACACCACTGGCCACTTCTCTGGGTCCTATCCCACAGCCAGCTTCCTACCCACTTAACTGTTGAGCAATTAAGCCCACAATCCTCCAGTTTTCTCGTGAGAACATCCTGGGATACTAGATCAAAAGCTTTTTGGAAGAAGTCAAGGTATACAGTGACAACCTCCTCTCTCTTACCCAGGTGAATTACCTGATCATAAAAAGAAGAAGTTGAGGTTGGTAACACAAGACCTACCTGCAACAAAGCCCTGCTGGCTGTCATTCAGAATCCTATCACCCATAGACTCCTTAATGAATTTTTCCAGGATTTTCCATGGGATAGAAGTTAAGTTAATTGGCCTATAGTTAGTTACCCAGGTCCTCAATTCTCCCCTTCTTAATGTAACCCCTTACTTAATGTAAAAGACTGCAAAAGTTTTTCAATTAAAACAAAGGGACAGGAGAAAACTGTTCCAAAATAAAGCACCTCTCAATTTCAATTTGTGCAAAGTTCTTTGGAGAGATTATGTAACAACAGGGTTACTACCTTTACCTGAAAAACCTAGAGATGTGTGTCAGGGTTCTCTCTTTTTTTAAGTCTTCCTGGGAGACGCTGGGTATTGGCTGCAGGCTGAGGATTTTGAGTGGGCTGTGCCAATGCTCGTGCTGGGGCTTACAGTCAAAGGGTCATGGCTAGGGGATCTTGCCCCTCTGCTCAGGATCAGACCGCCTGCCCTATATGGGGACAGGAAGGGATTTTACCAAACTGTGGGGGGTTTTGCCGTCCTCTGTAGCAGGAAGTGTAGCCCTCTACCTGGGATCTCAAGTGTATGATCAGGTCTAGGCAATTATTTGGGCTGGGCAAACTGTTCAGTGCTTGACTGAGTGTGTGCATGGGGTCTCCACAGAGCCCAGCCTGGGACCCAAGGGCATGGTGCACTAGTTTGGGCAGATTAGATGGGGCTACAGGCGAGTGGGGAGCGGTGTTTGGGAGCGGGAGAGGCAAGCAGCGTTGGGATCATGGGATGGTGACAGAGTAGGGCCGTCCCAGCACCTCTGGGGCACAGTGGTGATCCACTACATGAACATCCCTGCAATGGGTGCTGGTTCCACGGAGACCCTGCTCACCCGCTCCCCATCCAGTGCTCCCAGCAGTGGGTGCAGGACAGACAAGCTAGAGTCCAGGCAGCAGAGACACTGGCAGGGGCAACTAGAGAGTGAGGGTGAGACCCAGTTGCTGTAGGGGCTTCCAGGAAGCTGAATCTAGCCATTGCCCCTGCCTTGGCCCAGTCCCATGAACTACAGCTCCTGGTATGCCCAAGAGCTGCATGCAGGGATAGGATGGGCTGTGTTCTACACCAGGTGGTACCTCTGTGCCTAGCAGGGCCAGCTGCATACACCACGGCCTGGGCTGCCCCCTGTGCCTGGGCCAGGTGGGACCAAGGGACCTGCCACAGGCCAGATATAATCACTGAGTGGGCTGGATCCAACCAATGGGCCATATTTTGCCCACCCCAGTGTATATTAACAACCTTTTACAAAAGCAGGACATTGGCTGCTGTTGTCCCCTGCTTTAACCTGTGGCAGATTAGGGTGTATTGTGTTAGGGTCGACAGTTTTACTAAGAGGTTAGATTATGAATCTGTATAGGAGGGTTTGGATAGGGATGATCCCGCCTCAACAATAGGATACAACAAATACTGAAACTGTATGCAGGATGTTCTTCCATTCTGCAGGCACATTTCAGGGAGCTAATCCAGCACTAAAGTCTTAATTCCCCACATCAGAAGCTTCTCAAATGACAAATGATTTTTTTCCTCTGTAGGACTACAACCCCAGTCAAAAAACTGAAGGAAAAACCTGACCTGAAGGGCCACAATGAGTTAAAAAAGAGCTGAAGCTAAATGCATCCATCCTTACAGCTTCCAAGGCATATAGGCTCAACAAATGGCAACCGAAGAGAAGCCAACCTCAAGCACAAGACACCAAACATGAGTCTCACAAAGTAGTAGGTATAGAGCATACCACTGAAATCTGGATATCTTCCATCTGCCAAAGATGCTCAGGAATGTAAATTATGCATTTAGAAACAAAAGTGTCAAAAAGCAACTGATTAAGAAAAAGTTTCTTGGATAAGAAACCAAGTGAAACTGAGAATAGCGTGAAGGCCGCCACAACCACAGCTTATGTGAAAAGAAAGAGGGACAGACTGAGATTAAGGCTCTTTATGGCCTCCACTCCACATCCTTGGAGTAATGTTGAAGTGAGGGAAGAGGAAGATGGTAACCAATATTCTCCAGATACAGTTTATATTTGTAATTAGGCTAAGTATGGACACGAATGTTTATTTACATAAATTACTTAATATACCTGTTATTTAAGGTACAAAATAACCAGAGTACTTCATGCATGGCATGAACAATGCTTTTATTGATACACGCACACAGGGCAAAAAAGAGACACCATTTGCCACACAAATGGCTGACTAGTTTAGCCATGCATGTTTTCAGTATTGGGGACTGTTTATAAATTCCCTGATCTAGAAACGGGAATGGCCAATCACTCTCTCAAGAAACCAGAGCAGCTTTGTTATAACCTGTTATACATCAACAAAGCACACCACTACTTACCTATTGCAGGTAGATTGTGAAAAGAATAGATTCAATAACCACCAGTATTTTAAATGGCTGGCTCTTTAATAAAGGTATATAGTTGTGTTAGATAAGGAACACAATGGTTATTTAAAAAAAAAAAGTTGACTAAAAAGCTTGCAATTTTCCACTTCCTGTGTACATTTAACTAGAATTGGCAAGCCAGTCAACTGACTGCATATTTTTGACTGGTCAAAGATTACAGCAATTTTACAAAAAAATACACTTTTTTGTAGTTTTCTTGTCAGAGGTATGATTTTTTGACACATTTCTTAATGGAAAAAATCTATGCCTGGTATTTGACTGAACCTTATTTGACCAGTCAAATACCGAACCCTACTTTTAACCAATATATTTTTACACATGCTGTTTGAACAAACCTTGTTTATCTTCGCAGATGCAGTCTTCTTTTTTCTGTCATCAGTGGAAATATCACCTGCAGAAAAATTAAATTGATAAATTTTTCTCAATTTAAAAAATACTTATTGATGCAGTATTAAAAATTAATAAACAAGAACACTGATACAGTATTAAAAATAATAAAAATGCAGTATCAAGTCAAGTCCCCTCCACTCCTAAAGGAAAGGCATAAAACAATTGATAGAGAAGAACCAGGAAAATATTGGGAAGCATTTGCAGAGGAAATTACTAAGAAGTGCCGCAGTAACAAGAATGGAAAATGAAAGAGCCATTCATCCTTTAAACCATATAAAAAACAGCATCATGTATTTTTACTAGCTTAAATATATATTCAAGAGAAATTGTTCAGAGGCCAATTAAGATGCTACTGGAGTTAGTCTTCTATTCCAGACTCCCAATGCTATTGAGCTGAAAATGAAGAAACCAGATTATCTCCATTAGAATTGTGGAAAATGGACCAACTGCTTGTAGGCCACAACAATCCAGCCAGATGCCCTATGAGAAGCAGGAGCTGCCCAATTCCTCTGCTCTATAACTACATGGGAGCTACTTAAAGGTCCACAGCCTGGTTACAGCTGGCAGATGCATAATGGGCTGGATCTGAGGAATTTAATCCCCAGCTGATAATCCCCAACTCTATTATCGAGCTTTCTGCCATGTAGGATCTTGAATATCTACCATGGCAGGACACAATCGTTGTGAACCAGGATTAAATTCCTCATATCCCATTGAACAATTAAATAATCATCTGCCTAGCTTGCTTTGTTTTCACCTGTAAAAAGCTAACTAAAAAAAACCCAACATGCTTCCTAAAGCTACTTAGCATTAGGAGTGGAATACTTTAATTACATTGCTGTACCTGCCAACAGAATGATAAGTGGGATGAGATGTAGGTGCAAGCACTTGAGAACAGGTAGGAGAGAGACCCATGAGACCATGTTTCTATTTAGCCACGACCAGAACTACAGCAAAGCTTGTGAGCCCATGGATTACTAATAAACGATAAAACTGTCAAGATAGAATGCCAATTCAACAAGCTGTCCATGCATATAACTTCTGTTGACAACAGACACTTCTGAGGATATGAAGAGTCACAAGAAAAATGCAATGATTGGGAAAAGTGCTGTCAATGTGAAAGATTTAATCACTTTGGTTTACCAAAAAGGCAACTGTGAAATGACTTGATTATAATGTATACAAATGTACATAGGGAAAAACAGTACCATCTGTAAAAATGCACCTCAGCTATAACACTCAGAACCCCATTACTTAAAAGAACTTTTTCCTGGTTATTCTCTATCAGAGGTCCCTTCCAGCCTTACAATCTATGAATCTATTGTTTTATGCCTTTCCTTTAGGAGCGGAGAGGACTTAATTTGATAATTATGCTATCAGAAACTCTTTACATTTTGAAATTCATTCAGCTTTAGTTAAGCAGCTTGAGAAGGCGTTTAAAGCTCACTTCCAGTTGGTCTCATTTCCTTTGTGGAATTAATTTAATGATGGAATAGCTGGGTGGGGCTCAGGTGTGCACTCTCTCTATGTATTTCAACTGTGAAAAGAAACACTCTTTACACACACACACACACACACACACACACACACTTTCCACAGTTGAAATAACTCAAAAATATATCCAATAGGGACTTAATTTAAATTAAAAAAAAAAAAAAAGTCTATAAACCTGGGAATTTGGGAAAGGTTTTGAAGTTTGGATGAATTTTGTAAAACAAGTATCTTAAAAAAAGAAAAAAAGGGAAAAAAGAACAATACTCCTACAACATGCTAGAGTTGGAGTTAATCAGAAAATGTTACCCAAAATGTTGCTAACGCATCCCAGTTCTGAACTGCTCTAACTTAACTGCAGTTTTTTCTGCAAGCAGAGACTAGAGTGAGTTATGATAGGTTCTATAATTGTTTTTTCAATGCACAATACAAGAAATCCATTTAATTCATGATGTATTCTAGATTTACTGTGATGTAAGGGAAAAACGTTCACAATATTGTATTGTACTCTAGGCACAGTTCTATTACAGGCAAGTATTTTTGTGATATATTTTATTGGACCAAATGTATAGCTGGGAGCATGGGCAGATCTAGGATTTTGAAGACAGGGTGCAAATGGTGTGGTGCATTGTCACATATAACACAACAGATTTTTTTCCCCAGTTACAAAGAAACTAGAAGTTTTACTAATAAGCTTGGGTCCTAGGGCTATATTACTCAGTTTAAGATGGAAACAAAAAATCTTTATTAGCACGTGTATTCATTTACTATATCATATATTACATTGAGAACACAAGAAACTAGGCAAAAATAGTAAAAGGATATTGTTTCATTAGTCCTCTAGTCTTTGAAATTAAATGGACATCTCTTTCAGATTCATAAAACAAAATTTAGCCTTCTGGAACATCTTGGTAGTGCATCCAATGCTTCACTGAAAGTTATTTCCGCACCCGCAGTTCCGCACCATACCTGAACTGTCTGATGCTAGAATTTCAAACAGTCTGTAGGGCTCAAAAATAGGAAACGCATCACCAGGAGCAGCTACCAGACGATAAAATGCAGAAGAAAGGATAGCTTGATTAGTAAAACCATTAAAAAGTTAACACCTGGTGAATGAAGAGTTTAGAAGGAATCAAGTAGATTGTAATAAAAGTCAACCGACTCCCTCACTGCTACCTGAATAGAAAAAGCTGCTGCCGCTGCCAGACAGCTGGGTTTAAACGCTGGGTGGGGCAGGAATCAAAAGGAGCTTAGACTGCATGATTACATTCCCTCCCTGGAACCACCTCTGGTTGAGAGAGCTGTTGGACAAGGTTTTTGGGTATCACGTGCCCTTCTTCAGGTCTAAGGCTAGACAGGAGTTCATTTCTAGCACTAAGAATTCCTCCGAAATTCTTATTGGTACCAATTCTTATTGGTAGAAAAATAGCCCCAGAGCTGAAGCCTACATGTATTTCAGTCCCTTAGGTGGAGTTGTGCAGATGAGCTCCCCAGCCAGGCAGCACTCAGCCACCCTCATCCTTAAGGGAGCCCATTAATGGACACCCTGCTCTCTCCCTTGCCTTGGGAAGGAGACAGGCTTATTAATTGGTAGGTGGCAGCTGCTGAAAAGCAGCTACTGCCATAGACCACCCAGGGAAGGTTCCAGCCCCAGGAGAATGTCCCCGTGCCCCCCATCCCATCCCATCCCATCCCATCCCATCAATAATCTGACTGAAGACCCTTCTCCTTCAGCTAGAATCTGCTCTGGGAGGGATCTCCCACAAAGAAGAATGCCCCACTCCCTGCCATTCAGCTGAGCTGTCCAGCAGAATGCAGCAGGGGAAATTTTTCAGGGCAAGGTCCTAACAGGCCTCCCTGACAGCCCAGCCCAGCCAAGAGCAAGGTGTCAGAGCACTAGCATTCTCCCTCCCTTTCCCCTTGGAGGGAGGGAGGGCGGGAGGAGACTCAGAGTACTGTAGGATACTGGGTGTCCTGCACACTCAAAAAAAGTACAGATGTTCAAGTTAGACTGGGAGGAGGGAAACCTTCCTGATAAGCATCCAATCTAACTACTCAGAAAAACGAGCAATCTTTCACTAGAAATCCCTTGAATGGCTGTGTGCTCTCTTTCCGAACTGGGAAAAATGCTTTTCTCCTTGCATAAGCGTAACACTTGTTCATGGCTTAAGGAAGAGGCAAGTGAAAGATCAGCTACATGTATGGGAAAGCCTTCAGGCAAATGCAATCTGTTTAGAGGGATAGATGAGGGCTGTGAACAAGAAGCAAAGAGGTGGTATAAGGAGCCATTACAAGTAAGGGTCTACTCAACTCTCAGCGAGACAGCAAATTTTGCAGCTTGTAGCACAAAGCGCTGATTTAGCATGAATTTTCTAGTGGCCCTGTCCCTTGCTGCTGACTGGTGGAGAGGCATATACCATATAACTATAGCAGATTCCACAGAAAGTAATTATATAAATTTTAATATTTAAATTTATAATATGACAATTTAAATATATGATAAATATAAATGTATAAGTGATGTAACTTATAGCATCATAATTTATTATATGTAGTGTTCTACAAAAAGTCTAGAAATACTAATTAATGCTAACCTTAATAGAAACATTTTCACTTCAGTGACTGTTCCTTCACTTCGTCCATGCTACTAGCAGACTAACTCCATCACATGATCTAAGGCTACAGCGACTGTCCTGTTGTCTTTGTATCGTGGTAAGCACTGGGACTTTCTAAAACAGTGTAATATATGAATAAAATGGGGGTTTTTCAGGTTGATTTTGCAGGAAACTGTGGCCAATACGATTGCAAACAATGCTGTCTTTTGCAGTTTCTGTGAAAACCACAAATTAAAGCAGACCCCTAAGTTATACGTAGTACAGCAGGCTACTGGTTAGTGGCAGAAAGAGAACATTCAAGTAGTTTTGACCCATGAAGTACAGGGAGATTAGCAGCAGTATTTCCTAGATTATCTGTATTAAAAATGAAGGGGTTTTTTGGTTTGTCTGTTGTTGTTTTGTTTTGGGGTTGTTTTTTTTGTTTGTTTTTTTTTTAAACTGTCCAGAAGGGTTGTGAATTTCTGTTCCCAGGTCCGTTATCTGCAGATCTTTTATGTATTCCCTTTGAACATGAGGACTGTGAGGTATGTGAAAAAAGTGTGCTCCTACTTGTGTTCATATTTATCTGTCCTTTATATTTTTTTCATTAAGCATCACATTCTGATGTAGGAAAGTTCTTTTCTAGTTTCATCCATATAACTATGTATTGCAATTATACAATGTCTCTTTGAGGCCTGTGGAAAAACGCTTGATTGCCTAAAAGCTTTTTGTAGAGCTCTTCCAGCTATACAACTGGTCCAATAAAAGGTATCACAAAAAAATCCTTGCTCCTCATGCATTTCCTGGACTACTGTGGCTACAGAACTAGTAGAGTTGGAGTTCTATCTGACCGGAAAAAATTCCCTTTGCTTCTCAAATTCTGCTGCTTAACGTTCAATTCTATCTCTGAATACACATAATACAAGACTGACACCCCCCCCCCATATCAATGTTTTTAGATCACAAAAGGAAAAAAATCCTAGAGTTTCATATTGAGATTAATGTGGTCCTAAAGCAACAATAAAGAAAAGTATCTACTTACTGCGGTTTTTTCCCACATCTTTACACAATTTTGCTATTAATGGTCCTTTTTCTAACTGTCCATCTTTTCTGTAATATATTAATGAAGAGTTATTTGCAACAATGCAATGGGCAGCATTGTATAAGATGTGCTGCCTCACATTAATAACAAAGAAAGGTGGGTCCTGTCCCAAGTTTTAGGCACTTTTGACTACTGAAGCACTGATCTTATGTGCGGTATGTACTGCAGCCCTTCCCATAAAATTCCATTATAAACCTCACCATTTACACATCCTAACATCTAGTCAATTTTCATAACAATGAAGTACCAATTCCTACATAATATTTGATGCCTTATTCAATTTGGATTTTGACTCAAACATGTAAAATGAGGGTCTGGATTCAACTATTTGATTAATATCTGCCAATGCTTATAATAGGCATGCAAAGTATCAGTGAAATTGAGGCCTGGCCACACTGCATGATTTAAGTCACAAATTTCAAAGTCTTGTCTGTCATTATAATACTGGATCCCAGATAAAAGAGGTCTTCCAAACCTAAACAAATTTTATCAAAGCCAGACAGTCCTGACAGCCACAATTTTTAGGCATTTCTTCCATCATATTTCTACTCGAGATGATAGAAACTTTGTCTCTTATCTAATGATGCACCTTATGGGAATGTTAGGATTCCAGAAGAAATCATTATATAAAACTACCTATCTTGAAATAGTTCTGGAACATTCAATCACTTCAATTCATGGTCAGATTTATTGGGATTTGATAGGAGTCACCAAACAGTGACCTTAAGCCACAGAAGTGACCTTAAGCCATAGGTAGGAAGTCATCACTAACTTTTTTCACTTGTTTGTGATTTTTTTAAATTTAATTTTGGGATGAAGTTTAATCTAAGCCAGGGGTCAGCAAACCCCAGCACGCGTGCCGAGCATGGCATGCAAGGCCATTTTGCTCGGCACATCACCATCAGCCCGAGATCTAAGCAGCTGCTGCCAGCCACGGAGCTCAGGTTGCTCCCAGCAGGCGGCTGGGAGGCTGCAAGCAGACTAGGCTCCACGGGCCGGCTGCAGTCAGGAGGCTGCAAACAGCTGCTCCGGGCTCCAGCATGTTGGCACTCCGGCACCTTCCAAGGTAGACATTGTGTTTTTTTCAGCACTCCAGCCAAAAACGTTGCCTACCCCTGATCTAAGCAATTTAGCATCATAAGGTAAACCAAAGAGAACGAAGGTAAGAAGGTAAGTCTTCTACAAAGATTAAGATGCTTTTTCACAACAGAATACAACAAGTTAATCCCTTGATTACCACTTGGTTACAAGTACATGAAAACTAGCAAGTAGTTAATTTCTCAAAGACTTGAGAATGACTGGAAAGGGAGTGGCAATACACTGTATTTTGTTTTTTGTTACTGTTTTTGAAAATAGCTCAAGTTAAAATTTTACAAACCGTTTTATTTTTTGGAAAATCTTTCGCAGTTAAACTTTTTAACAGGTTTAGAAATTTTCAATTAAAAACAAGGAATTTTACTTGGGAAAGTATAACAAGTATATTAAAAATGTTTAAATTACACTAGTTTATTTTAAGAATCTAGCATGTTGATATGTTGGTGAAATTGCTTCCTGTATTTTATTTGGCATATAAAACTAAGCTTAGTTAAGGTAAACTTTAGTTTAAGCTGAGATCTGTAGTCATGCTGACAGTCTTCTAAGATACTGCACAATCAAGAGGCACTATTCAGCTTAAATCCCAAACAATACAGTAAATTATTACTATGACTCCTGTATGCCCAATTTATGTATTCATCTCCCTAATAATTTTATTTTGCTGTTGAAGAAACTGATTTTCCCTGTAAAAGAAAAAACAGCCATTATAAATATAGGACAGGGAAGAAAAGTGCTTTTTGTAAGAAGGAACAAGAAGCAGTTCTCAAAGCAGTGTGATTTACTCATACATTCTCTGCATCCAGCACCATTTTTGAAGTGGAGCATGGCAGCCCTCCTCCCCACCTCTGATTAAGCGAGGGGCCCTGGGAGTCCTGCCCCTCCCCTAGATATTGATGAGTGACCACCTGTGACTCTGGGGAGAGGCAGGACTTCCAGGGCCCCTTATCCAGAGGCATGGCAGGGGCCACCCCACTACACTCCACTGCAAAAATCTGCCCCTTCCCCCCAGGCTTCACAACACCACGGTTTCCTGCCTCTATTTGCAGCCACCCGCTTTTCCTTCTTTTTCATAGGGACTGGGCTTTTTCACAGGCGACCTATCAAATTTGCAGTTTCCACAAAAATTGCATAATCATAATTTGGTAGACCCCTAGTTATCTTAAAGGAAAAAAAATGTGAATATCCAACAGTCTTATTTTTATGGTATGTTTATCCTTTTTTCCTTAGTGCTTGGACCAAAGAAACCAAGCATAAAAGATGCAAATACATGCAACAGTCTTTTGAAGGATCTTCCAAAATTAGTTTTAAATATTTAAAAAATAATGTTTATTTTGAACTCTTCCCCAGTATTTATGCAATCAAGTGGACCTAGTATTAGTGATAAAAAAGAATGGTTAAATGCTACTAAAGGGAAAATGGAGCATTTTGTTTCCTGTAAAAACTTAACTTAAAAATAGGACAGACGCTCCAAAATGTTTAAAACTAATTAAAAAAGTTATGTCTATATCCTATTATGGCTACTGCTAAATCTTTTATTCAATGTACCACCAACCTCTTAAAGCCTTTTATATTGATATGGCAACATTTTCCCTTACTGCAGCAGCAGTTCTCTTTCTCTTCTTTCTCCCTTAGTTGCCTCACCTGAACCTGCAACAAAAAAGTCAGTCAACTTTGGAACAACTAGAGTGCAAACCAACAGATGCATTTTTTTTTAATTAACATACAATGAATAGTTAGCTGATACACCCTCTAAGCTATATCTAAAGGGCCTAATGCATCCTTAATCCATAGGTTATTTGGATCCGACAGAACTTCTAAAACCAGAAATAATTTAATCTGTCCAATTTCATGCATCACAGTATATAACTTCAGAACCGTTCCCCTGGTTTTTTATAAACCTAAATACTGTCCACTAGTTCCCCTTCAAAACAGGCTAGCCAATTTGAAGTTTCTAGTTTGAGCTATTTAATATGACTTGCTGTATATAAAAAATGCAACACCTGCCAGAGTGCAATGCATGCTGTTCCTAAGTACAGCTTCATTTCCAAACACGTGGCATAATTAATCTCAATAACAAAACAGCCCTCTAAATACAGGAAACAAAATAAAGAGAATTTTCAGATGCATGGGAGCTTTGGGAAAGTGCAGAAAATGGCAAAGAAACACTGGTCTACACCAGGAGAGTTTTTAAAGGGACTAAGGAACATAACTTTAAAAGTTGTTTTAAAAGGTTTGGGGTGAGGGGAAGGGGGAGAACCACTGCATAGGAGTCATTCTTTTTTACATTTATATCTATTGCATCACATCTTATACTAACATTTTACATTCTTATTTTGTCAACTTGCTAATAATGCAATTAATGAATTTTCAGCAAATGACTGTAACAAGACAAATAAATGCACAGTCCCTTGGCTAATGGTCTTACACTTTAAACGTTAGTTTATCTTACTCTAGACAGTGTCTTGGTTCTCCAGAAGAAAGAGCATACAAACATTCAGCTGTACTAAAGTATTTTTCTAGGAAAGGGAGGTATCTTTTGGTCATACCTCAGTGACAGCAGATTCAAAGACAATCTACAATGATGGGAAGCACAAGAAATAACAGAAGCTCATTTCTTAAACCAGTGCCTCAATTACATCTCTCAAAATACTACAGAAGAAAAAAAAATATAAACAACCCACATTCTATAACCAATAAAAAAGTTGGAACAAGGTTTTTCATTGGCGTTATAGAATCATAGGATTGAAAGGAAGCTGAAGGGTAATCTGGTTCAATACCCTGCACAAATGCAGAAATGCCACTGCAGGGACTATAACACAGGACTCCTCAACCTCCAGGGGTTTGTCATAATACCAGCAACAGCAACAGATGCATGCTCCCTTCTGCTAATTCTCTCCAACCCTATTAAACTTCCATTCCTTTCTATACAATCCCCCAACTTTCAACAGGAGAGATGGAAAGTGCCCTCAATATAGTCTGTAGTTAAGATACTCCTCCTGGGAGTTTGAGGCAATGATTTTCAAGCCATGTCTCCCACTTCTTGGAAAACTGCTTTAAGCTACTAAAATTACCACATAAAAAGTAACAATCCCCACTGCCATCCTCCTCTAGCCCTATTTTTATTGGAAATAACCAGGGCTACTGTGATCCTGGCTGTGCCTATCTACACATTAAGCCTACCATTAAAAAAAGCCTGAAAACAGCTACTGGATTAGTCCCCAAAAGGGACAGGTCCCCTTGTCTGTTGCTACCAAATAGTTGGTACCAGTCTGTTTCTACCTTTATCCATGGAAGTGCAAGGACACTCAGATTGGCCAAGATGACACAAACAGTAGCACTTCAGGTACTTAAAGCTGCTGTAGTGCCAAAGCAGTTTGGCAAGGCTTTTGTGGATTGCTCAGCCGGAAGCAAGCACTTACATCCACCTAATTTACATTTTAGGTCCCTAAATACTTTTCTGCAGCTACAGTTCACACTATTTAGGAATCCATATGGGTAAGACTTAATATTTCAGATTCATTATACATTAAATATTAGCTTCTATTTTCACTGATATAGCTATAAAACAAAAGAGAGACATAAACCACTGATTCAAAGACGACATGATTATGTACAAATCTCGCATAGATTCATTTACAGAAAATGTAAACAAATTACATTTTATTTCCATCTTATTTTCAGAAATATATGGACTACACCCAAACAATCTGCTGGAGACTCAACTAGCACTGTTCTGGATATTAACCACTGTAATGGATGGTATAATTGTTTCAGCATAGGTAGTACAATTAGAATTTATTTCCTTACTGTGGTTAAATACGGTTTTCCAATCCAGTGGGAACGAACCATTTTGGCAGGCATGTCACAAATTAGCACCAAACACTCATGGCTTGCCACTATGATCCCTTTTTTCCCCCCACTTAACCAATCTGCTACTCTGCTTTCTGCTCCCTGGCCTGTGCTTCCTGCCTGATCTACTACTCTGCTTTACATTCCCTGCCCTATCCACCACTGTGCTGTCTCCCAACCTACCACATGCTACACATACAAGCTCCCCATGCCACTTGTGGCGCCCATGCCTGAGGGTGGTCACCCCTTCTTTAATCCAGGAGGAAAAAGCTTTGGCATATACTTGTGAGAATAAAGGGGCTATTTAAAAAAGAAAGAGTTTGGGACTTACCTTTATACAGTCTTTTAATGAATCAAACATACATACTGCTTGAAAAGGTTTGCGGTCAATAGGACACAAAGCCATGATCTGAAAGAAAATTTTGTTTATTATAATCTGTATCAAGTTAGGGAGAAAAAGTCCAAATATCTGAAATTTAACAATAAGTTAGAGAATACAGCTTGCTGAATACACAAAATTATGGTTTACACATCTTAAGAAATGATTGCTTATTATTCTAGAAAAAATTAACTATATCATGATAAATGTTAGGTACAGATTTAGTATTTTATTAATCACTTACATATCTCATCTTTCAACAACGCAGGGTGGATAAAAATTAATAATTAAAAAAGATTTATATAAAAAAATCAGATTTTTTATTTAAATCATTTTTATTTAATTGTATTTTTGATCTTTTTTGTTAAGATGCTTTTCAAAAAATAAACATATAACGGTAATTTTAAGATACGTTAAAACTCAAGATGTCATCATGGAATAGGGATTATAACTTCTCATTTTATACTATTTGAGATAGTATATTCATGTAATCTTTTTAGAAGTTTTATAAGTAGGTCACAATAGGTCATGGACTATATTAGGGGCCCAATCTTATGGAGTTCCCAGTGGATCCTCTATAGCTTAGTAAATATTAAAGAAAACCACTCTACGCACTGGGAGGCAGTGGTGAGTCTGGAAGATCCCATTAAGCATCTCTGTGATGCTTAGTTTCAGTTCTCAAACTGTGGATTTGTGTCTCCATAGATAATGGGCAGACAAGGTTCTTTGGCTAGATGTGATCTCTTTTATTAAACCAACTAAATAGTCAGAAAAATTGTTCTTTGCAAGCTTTCGTGCACAAACACCCTTCTTCAGGCATAGGGAGAATTTGTCTCCATATGCTGCTATATATCAAGGATGTTATCACTGGGGATGAGAGATGACAGACCTGATTACCCACTCATCAGCCCCACTGTCTCTCTGAAAGTCTGTGTGATTTAAACACAATAAGGAGAAAATCTACCTCCTTGAAACAAAATGTATCAGAATATTCAGTTAAGACTTTATATTTATATAAAATTACCTGCCACTTTTTTCTACAGAGTTACAAACGTTACTTCACCTTATACAAGAACATTTGCGTTCTCATGTTTCTAAGCTACAAAACTATATCCAAGAAAACAAAAACATAAGTAGCAACTTGAAAATTATGGCCTGGAAAGTTCTTTTCCATCCTCCAAAATTTACAATATTTGCTAAACCATACAATTAGCGCACGCGCGCGCGCACACACACACACACACACAATCAAGGTAAAAAAAAAAAATCTGTTGCCCAACAAGGCTTTAACCTCTATGACGCTTCTATTTGCTGTAAAGGAATTAATGTAAGATGCCTGATGCAACCAAAAACTGACATTTTTACATGTACCGATTACCAGGATTTATTTCCAAACAAATAAACAAAAGTAGTAAGAAGGAGGAAATAAATTTTCTATTATGTCTCCCCTGTGTGGCGGGATATTGGTTCACAACAGAGAGACAATTATTCATCTTTTACCTGTCTGCGAAAAGATTCTTATTACTAGATCTTGGCTGAGCAGTAGAAGTTTGGTGGAATTCATATTTCCAACCTACAAATAAATCTTAAATGGGTTTTGTTAGTAATGTGCCATTGTCTGCCACACTTCACTCATGCGCCTCCTCATTTCAAGAAGTGTGTTTTGATTAAATGCAAGCTAACAGGTAATAGCTAAGATGGAATAAAAGCCTAGTGAGGACAAAACACTTCACAATTTTCTTTTAGAGGTACCTCAACTTATTAAACACGCTATTTTTACATGCTTCAGCAGACTGCAGTACCCCAAGAAAAACTGAAAATTAGAAGCTGCTTTGTCTTCATCAGGATTTTAATTTTATAACTAGGGACCTACTTAACATGCGGTTTTGCAGATTTCACGGACACTGAAATCTGGGATGGTCCGCAAAATCTACAAGATCAACCAAAATACTTAAAAATGAAATGCTTAAAAATGGTGGCCCTTGCTGCCGGGAGGGGAAGGCACTGGCTGGCAAGGCAGCCTGAAGGGCAGCAGACAAGATGGCAGCTTCTCCCTCATCCCTCCTCCCCCTGCCAGTGACTCTCTGCCAATCAGCGCTAAGGGGTGGGGCAGCACAAAGGGCAGCCAGCAACAAGGGTGGTGGATCTGCTGCCTCATCCTTCCTCCCCGCTCAGGCCTCTTTGATTTATATCGGTTCATAAAAACACCAACAAGAACATAGGAGAGTTGTCTTCCATTTCTAGTAGGAATGCACTTCAGTAAACTTCCTCTTCATTAGAAATTAACCCGTGTGCCATAAAGTAGGGGGAAAGAGATTTCAGAAAAAGACCTTTGCTCTTAAATGACTGACCCTGTACTACTGTCTATACTTCCTATGGAATATCTGAATGTTGAAGCCAGAAAACCCAAATCTTTATTGTGCTAGTTATCAGCAGGGATCTGGGTTTCTGTTTCCCATGGAAACATGGAGAAAAAACAGACCCCCCCCCCCACTTTTACTGAAGGAAAATGCAGATTTCTTAATTTAAAACAGAGAAACCTGCGGATTTTGCCGTTTTACAAAGAGTTCTCTGCAGGCTGGCAGAGGTCCAGCCTGCAAGGGGTTGGGAAGAAGCAGAAGGAGGGCAGCCGGACAGGGGATGCCATGTGCATGTATATGTACGTGACTGCTAGGCAGCCTGGAGAGCGGCTCCCATAGCTAAGTGGGGGGGGAGGTAGTGGGGATTGGGGCCCTCATAGGGAAGGAAGGAGGGAGGAAGAGAGTTGGGCAGGGATAGGGCTGGAATGCACGGCCGCAGAGCCCTGGCAGGGAACAGGACAGGGCCACGGGCAGCTTGTCCAGGGGATGGGAGGACCCAGGCCCCACAAATCTATGCATGGGACACGGGCGGGCTGCCTGCTGCAGACTCAAGCTCCTATCCTGCTGCCCTCCCTCAGGGTTTCCACAGCCTAGCAGGTGCAACCCAACATTGCAAGGAACAGCGGGGCTATGCGCGGATCTCCTTGCCATAAGGAGTTAAATGGATACTTTACTAGTTCAACCAACAACTCATTTCTTCTAGTTAGGAGGACAAAACAATGACCGATCCACACCATAGTGAAGAGATAATGTTAACTAAAATGCAATTTAACTCAAAGGACAAAACTTAAATATAAAATTGTTTCCTTTAAACTGGAAACATAAAATAAGGCTATAGAAAAAAAAAAAAACAGTATACACCAACACGTGTTGTTTCTCTACTTCCAACTAAAATCAAAATTGGCTGGTATTCTCAGACAACCTAACCCACAGCAGCAAAATTAGTGTTAAATGAGGGAAAAGACTTGTAAGAGTCATAAGAAAAATGCAAATGACAAAAAAAAGCTTTCCGTTAACCTTTAACAAATAACATAACCTAAACTATAATTACTGATTATAACAGTACAGCAAAACTGCAGCTATGATCATTACTTTCATACACCAAGTTATTATATTTATCCACAATTAAGGATATGAAGGTTTTGCAGAGCTAAAAAGTTTTTAAGAAATGAAGGGCTGATAGAGTGGGTATAAAAAAAAACCCACAACCTTTTTTATATAACTAGCAATTGCAGTTGTAACAGCAGGTTATCCCAACTTAACCCTCCAACTAGCCATCATTAACTGGCTTTTTAGTATGCATCACAAGAGCAGTCAGGAGCTAGGTCTTAAGAAAGGAAATGAAAAGTATCCAATTATTTCATTATACTGTAAAGAAAGCTACTTCATTCTAACAATAATTAAATCTTTTATTTTTAAATCAATTAGAACACATATATTGCCATAAAAAAACAGTGGTAACTGAACTAGTTACTATGTCAGCCAACTAATTATTTTTCCTATTACAATTTCAGAAAAAAAGGTGTAATGTATTCCAAGAGACTGACCTCTGCCCATTTGAGAATACAGGTCATGCAGAAGATGTGACTGCAGTTTTCTGGAAAACCAACTTCCTGTTCTAGAAGACAATTTAGACAGATCGGGCACCTGTCAGCTTCATCATGTAACAAGCCAGCAGAACAGGAACAGCTGTCTTCTTTTTCTTCACCTGTTATTAACAATGACACTTTCAAATTTGTTGCCATTTTGTGAAATAGTTATTGTAGATTTGAGTAAGAAGCAGTTCATTGAATGTGATATTACCATATATTAGAATCTCCTTAGTTCCTCAAATTAGTATGCAATACTGTCTGTATGATATATTAACAGTTAACATGGTGAGTTTATAAAAGCAGAGTAGGAAGCTAATTATCAGTGTTTCAGTTACTTTCTAGTCAAGCTGCTAACCAAAACAGCTTAGTTCTCAAAGGAATTTGTAGTCAACTAGGAAAATCCTGAAAAGCAGAAACACCTATTATTTTCTGTACAAAGAAAAGTTAACTCTCAGCCTTTAAAAATAAAACTTAAGGATGACAATTTACTGAACTAGCATTTTCCTACTGCATTTGGTATGAATACTTCACATAAAAGCCCCCCATTCACTAAACACTGCTCACATTTCAGGTACTTCAACATATCAGGATGAGTTAAATGAACAAAATATCTACCTTATTTTAGTTTGAGTGAAATTACAAAACTAGAATTGCATCAAACTAATCTATTATCAGCAATCCCGGCTTTCCACTTGCCATGGAAAAAAAAAATGCAGATTTTCCTCCTTTAAAAGTAAAAACCATGGATTTCCTTTTTAAAAAGAGAAAGGCAGGAAACTGTGGGTTTCCTCTTGCAGGCTGGAAGAGTTCTAGTGGGAGAGGGAAAGGCCCACAGGTGTTTCATTTTAATCATGGATTAAAAACCTCCAAATCCTCATTTTTCAAAGAATTTGGGATTTTTAAACAGAGAAAGCCAGAATCCCTGCTTTTTATGCTTACTGTTCCTCTGCTACCTCTGGGAAATTCTTGCCCCCTCTTCCAACTGTTTAATAAAACAAACAAAACCAGTGCTGTGCTTGGCTTTCACTCCTCAGACCTAAGAAAGAATGTCTTGTATTAGAAAAGCTTGTTTAACTCTATCCAATTATGCAGCTGGTCCAATAATATATAACCTTAAAAAATCCTTGCTGCTCTCAGTTCCTGAACCACCATAGCTACAACATTCTAACACTACTTCTAACTTAATAAATTCCTACTGCATATGGTAAATGCAGCAGTGTTCTTAATTCTGTTACTATCTTGTTTTCAAAACCAGTTATCATATTTTCTTAAAATATAACATCCCCAAGTATAATACACACCTTGTTTTTGAAAAGCATTATAAAGACTTTTCCCCCCCAGAATTATGGCTGCAGAGACCAGGGACAGGGCCTAATCTTCAGCTGACTCATCCTCTTTCTGGCTTAACTAAAACCATACCTGCTACTGAAGACTGGTCTCCATGAGTAGACCTATACTTAGGGACCTACCAAGTTCATGGCAGAAGTAGAGTGCATGGCAGCTCCTTTAATCTTGCATGTTCCCCCATGCACACCTCACCCCTTGGCCCCTGCCTTGCTGCCGATTAGCGGAAGACCCGGAAGCTAAAACCACGGCTTTAAACACGGTGCCATTTTTGCCTCCCTGCTAGTCAGCAGCAAACAGGAGGGCCATCAGGGGCCCCTCAGCCAATTAGTAGCATGACGCAAAAATGGCACCATTTTTGCTTCTCCGCTGACCAGAAGCGAGCTGCAAGCAGGGCCCCTACACCAATCAGCCGGGTGGGGGGGAGGGAGGGAACCTGCAAGTTTAAAGGAACCACAGCCCACCCCGCTTGCGCCATGAATTTGGTAGGTCCTACCTACAATTTTGAAAACAGCTGAAGAGCTGTGAAATAGGGTAAGACCACAAACCCTAACAGACAGCAAAAGGTTAGCTTGACTAGTGGAATGACCATTAGAAAGGAGAGATGATTGTTAACACCTGTGAAGGGAAGAGCAATAGGCCATTAACTCAATGGCATATTAATAGACCACTGACTCCCTCAGCTGCCTGAATAATGCCAGAGCTGCTGCACTGCTGAGCAGGAATCAAAAGAGGGGCAAAAAAATCAGCTCATCTCACTCCAAAACTGGGGGTGGCTGGGGGGGGATGATTTTGGGAAAAAGGGTGTGTGCTGTATGCAAGAAAATACAGCAATATAAAAGTTACCTAGTTTTAGTTCATTTTTCCAGTTGATAGTTTGGACATGTTCTCCAACACTCTTTCAACTCAAAACACAGATGAATGAAGACTACTTTGTAATTTAGCAGCAATAGCTGGGAGAGTGCTGGGGCACCCCCTGCCTGAAATATTGGGTTGTGTCTGACAACTATGATCAGGATAGAGATACCACAAGTAACAGATTTTGGGGCCTTCAATGGGAAGAGAAACATTTGTTATGCTAACTTAAGTTTATAAAGTTTTACTTCTACCACCTACAATGCCCTAGTTCAGTGGAAGATAAAAGATAGTCAAAGTTAATTTTACATCATTCATTTTATTGTCACAATATAGAAGTTACATATATATAACCACACACCTTCCATGTCTTCGTGTTTTTGACCCTCAACATCTGGAACGTATTGCTTTTTGTTCTTCATCTCTATTTGAGAAATATAATCTGTAAAATATTAAAGCAATAATTCAGTTTTTCTTACTATGTTTATATTCCAATTTTAAACATTAAACCACTACCAAGTCTATGAAGATACAGGTTTCCCTTGATTTATGCACGTTCTTTATATATGAATTCGTTCTTATGCGATGAGCATATTTAGACCCATAATTCGTTATACGCGAGGTAAATTTCGCTCATATGCAATCTGCATAGACACCCCCCCCCACCTGAGCAGGTAAGTCGGTGGGGGGAGGGGAAAGGGCCAATGCCACCTGCCTGCAGCTACTGGGCTGCACCATGCTCCACCTGTCCCCTTGCACCTCGGCTCCGCTTGTCCCCATTCACCTCTGCTCCTGGGCTGTGCCGTGCCCTGGTGTAGGCAGCAGATTTCAGCCACTCCTGGGGCTGCTGCAGCAGGAGCTGGGGTGCATGGGGACAGGCACAGCCCTGGCAGGGTTGGGGCATGGTGCAGCCCAGCAGCTACAGGCAGCTGGTATTGGCTGCTCCCACAGCTGCTGCAGCAGGGACTGGGGTGAGTGCCGCCCTGTTCCCTCTGCTTTGCTGCCTTGTGCAGCTCTGGGAGCTGCACCCCTTCCCTAGTCCCAACCTCACTCCCTCCCTCCCTCCCCACCATGGGAACCGATCCCTATTTGTTATGTTGTAAAGTGGGTTTGCTTTATAAGAATTTGATTTATGCACCATTCTCTGGGAACACATGTATCGCATAAATTGAGGGAAACCTGTATCCCCAATACTTTATACTATTTCATTATATAATTGCAGAGCAGAGGTGTCTGTCTGGCAGGAGGAGTAGTAGAAGGCAGCTATGAACCATTTAATATGAACACTTTGTAGCTTTTTTTATTTGAACTGGTCCAGTGAGACACTGAAAATAAAGTAGATGGCTAATCTAAAGGATAAAAAAAGCCACAAAAACCCTGTAAAATTGAGATGTACCTATTTAAATATCAAAACTGTATGAATACAAGTGCTGCAACTGACATATAATTATATAGGTAAACTATACAAATATTCTTCTCAAACTAATATTGTAAAATATTATCATATTTTAAAGGAAAAACATTATTATTAAAATAACATTTGCTATTCTTAATTTTTCTTTGTAAGTCGATCCCATTAGTCTTCCTATCAAGCTACCCCTTCTCTACCATTACCAAAGCAACTAGATTTTGCCATTTGCCTCCCTACCAGTTATGGAGAAAGAGCCAGCAGGTTTTAGATGCATGTGGAAGAATAGGAAAACTGACTGATCCTGCAAGCCTAAACAGAAAGTACCGTGGTAGAGACAACAGCAGGGGGTGGGGGAGGGCGGCACACAGGAATATTTTCATCATGAGGAAGATAAACTCCCTTTTGGAAACCAGAACAGATCACAAGATGGAATAGAATATAGGTCTAGTAATAGGTCAAAATCACAGGTACAAATTTAAGAGTCATGGGCACAGCATACATGGATAAAATGGTCAATAGCTACCATCCTCTGTTGAAGAGTGACATATGAGAAGAGGAAGGACAAAAGAAGTCTCTGGTTCCTCCATCCCACATGACTCACAGACTGCAAAGTAATAAACCAGAAATACAGGTTTGAATGCTAGCCTGTTTACTGCATCAGGAGCTAGAATATTCTCTCCTTAGCTTACCTTTGGGAATGGAAAATAAAGGGAGTCCTTCCTCTTTCTGCTTTTACTATAATGGATCTCTGTCCTCTTTTCACCATAAAGTAATACCTTGACAAAGTAAAACCTGCCGTCACTAAACCTTATGTATTTAAATCTCCCCTTCTTTCTGAAGTTTAGACTCCTGTGGCCAAATTACAATTGTACCTATATCTATCTCACCTAAATTTGGCCCAGCTTGCACTTTAAACACCCAAGTCCAAAGGAGCACTTCATAAAAACCTGCCTAAATGCCGAGGCACCTA